CAGGAGCCCCTAGTAGCGTCCTTGCTCCTAGTAGCGATGCCAGGAGCTTGAGTCTAAAGAATCAAGTCCAAGACCTTAAATTCAAAGTGCCTTCTCCGTCTCAGCGGTCCAGAACTGTTGGTCAACCAAAATCTTGGACTGCGCAGAATACCTCAAATCTCAAATGCAGCCATGCTGAAACCTACTAAGGATTACATGAATTTATTTGAGTCAATTCTACAAATTGCAAAAAACTAATCATAAACGAGAAAAGAAGCTACTAGGAACAAGTGCGTCGCTTCTAGTAACAAGTGCCTTACTAGTAGTAACAAGAAGCTAGTAGGAACTAAACGAACGTCAAAAACGAAATGAAGATTAAAAAAAAACACTCCCGCTGCCCACTCAGCTTGCAACTCCCCTTCAAGAAGCCACTGAGTCCGATTTGTGCCGTCCTTCCGCGGGTGTTTGTCAACGCCTCTTTACAGTTTGAGCAATGCTGAATGATTTGAAAGAAAGGTCTCAAGAAATTCCAAGGAAAAAGAAAGGTTGAAAAGTTGAAAGGTTGAAAGGAAAGAAAAGAAAGAAAAGGAGCAAGGACGCTGCTAGGGGCTCCTGGCCTTACTACTAGGAGCAAGGACGCTACTAGGGGCTCCTGGCCTTACTACTAGGAGCAAGGACGCTACTAGTAACAAGAAGCTACGAGTATAGTAACAAGGTCTAAAGAAAGAAGAAAACTCCCTCCCACGGGTGTTTGAGGCCTCCGGATAGGCCAACAAGGCTCTCTTGCTGGAGTCATAGAGGCCGTTCACCATGGCAACCTTAGGCAAAACGAAGCATGTTCAATCACCTAATAGTAATGGCCTCCCACCTAAACTACAAAGGAGGACCATTTCAAACGGAACTTTGTGAAAGCAGAAGTTCTACAAGGAGCCCCTAGTAGCTTCCTTGCTCCTAGTAGCGATGCCAGGAGCCCCTAGTAGCATCTCTACATGCTGTTGGACCCTCTTCTACAGGTCAGGGTGTGGAGCATTCTCACGCACACATTGTACGGTTGCATACAGTTCAATCCATAATTGAGCGCAGCGGCGCAGCGTTGTTGTTTGTGGTTGCTTTAAAAAAAATATTAAAAAAAATGTATCTTTATTTGTGTTTCTCGAAACCCAACTGTCAAACAGTTTTTCTGATGCGATGGCAGAGTCAGATTGCGTTCGTTTGTTCTTTCCAAAGAAAACATAGCACCTTACAAGCAAGGAAGACGCGCCGCTTTACCAACGGCAAGCATTTGTAGTTTGTGTTGATTGTTTTTTTTTTGCGGTTTTGTTCTGCCCAAATTCCGCCTTTTTCCTTTCCTTCATTTCCTTCATTTCCTTTCTCCTATTAACCTGTATTTTGTGTTCTTTCTTTTGAACTTTAGACAATTAGACAAAGTTGTTTTCTGACGTTCTTTCTTTCATTGAACCTTGAGACGTCGCCTCACTTTAGACTCTTTTTCTTCATTTGGAACCGTTAGATCTTTCTTGTTTTATATGTTTACTCTTCTCTTCCCGCAAGCTCCCTAGTAGCTTGCTCTAGTAGTAACAAGTGCATCGCTAGTAGTAACAAGTGCCTTACTAGTAGTAACAATGTTCGCTACTAGTAACAAGTGCCTTACTAGTAGTAGCAAGAAGCTACTAGTAACAAGAAGCTACTAGGAACAACCAAGGTTCCAACCTCAATGTCGCTCAGCCACTTTTCCACGATCGGACCGGTAACGACCGGCTGGACAAAGGGGACCTCGGCACCAAAAGCTCGAACCTGTGCTCTCCTCGCTCTGAAAAAAACGCATATGATTTATGATGGTTTTCCTTTTGTTCCTAGTGGCGTCCTGCTCCTAGTAGTAAGGCCAGGAGCCCCTAGTAACGTCCGATCGCTCCTAGTAGCGATGCCAGGAGCCCCTAGTAGCTTCTTCTTCTATTCCTTTCTTTCTGGCTTCTCTTTCCTTACAAGAAGGAGTTTGGATACAAGCCCACGTAAAATCTGACTGGCGGACATATTCCTTGATCATGTCGGACATGCCGACGATTTCCGCAGGGGCAGTCTGCAAAGCGCTTTGAAAGGCGTACGGCACGGTGCCCAGATGTGGATTGATCAGAATATAATGTCATCAGTAACAAGTGCATCGCTAGTAGTAACAAGTGCCTTACTAGTAGTAACAAGAAGCTACTAATTTGAATTTGTTTAAATTCTAATTCTATTCAATTCTTGTTTCCAATAGCTTCTTGCTCCTTGTAGTAAGGCCAGGAGCCCCTAGTAGCGTCCTTGCTCCGTTCGTAGCGATGCCCTTTGCCCCTAGTAGCAAATGGTTCTTGAATCTTACACTCTGGAAATGCCGTGCCACCCATGCTTCACCAAGGATGGCAGATAGGGAAATTGCAATGATCAAACGAGTCAACCTATCTCCGACTTCAGTATAACTTTGCAAGTGCTTGCTTCAAGTTGGAACCATTTGGCGGGGTTGCAGAGAACATTCGGCATGAGAAGCTGTAGGCTCCAGCTTCGAAGCCAGGCTTGGATCTGAGATGGTTCCGTAGATGTTGAGTGGCTTTATCCGCAGGCTTCATCAGCCCCGAAACCCTTTTACCCCCAAGCTTCTGATCTGCAGAGCTGGTCATTTCCAACCTACTGGCGATGGCCAGGAGCCCCTAGTAGCGTCCTTGCTCCGTTCGTAGCGATGCCCTTTGCTCCTAGTAGTAAGGCCAGGAGTGCCCCGTTAGTAGCGTCCTTGTTCCTCCCTTTCAAGCCCCCCTTGAGGATCCAATTGAAAGTCCCTTGAGAAAGCTGGCATCTGAGAAGGACAAACGGGACGAGACAATGGTCTTGCCCTTCACTAGCCCTTTGCCACAAATGGAGAGAACGCTCAATGTGTTGTTTTGAAATGATTGATGAATGTTTCTTTATTGTAATATAAACCTTTCTTGCACTTATTTATTGTTTTTCTTCTGTATTTATTTCTTTTCTTTGTTTTTTTCTTTAGGCCATGGTTTATGTTCTTCTCGTAGGGTAACCACTTCCCCTAAATGTTGAACAATACTTCCGAACGGCAATTGTGTTCTTGGTCCAGTCTTGGATTCTGCCTCGGAGAAGACCACGCGATTGATCGAATCGAAACATTTGCCTGGCAGAATTCGACAAGAGTTCAAAAGTGGTTCCACAAAAGGTTTGAGAATTGCTTCAAACATGTCTCTACGTCACCCTTAAAGCCTTAGCTCTTGAATCAGAAACAAGAACTCTTTTGTCCACAAGGCCAAGCCAGGTGCACACATGTGCTCTTGAACGGCGTGGGGATTTCGCCTCAGCACGCAGCAGGGCAGACCGGCAGGTGCAAAACACTCAGTGGAGGTCCGAACGTTTGCGACAGGATGCTGAGCAGCTCGTCATTTGACAGGAAATAGAACCTTTGTCTTTCAAGTTGCAACGCCAAATCATCTAGTTTTATTTCAAAAAAAAGAACTTGAAGGGCGCAAGAGATGCTAAACAAAGCACAGCAACAACTGTCGAAGCAATCGCCTGGGAAATGCAGCTCGCTTGGTTTCGAGGTAAGCTTCCAATTGCTTCTGCACCTATACAGATTCAATAGCTGCGGATGATGCACAAAGGCAGGAAAGTCCCTACTGCATCAAGAAAGCGAAAGGTTTACTTGTGTATTTAGAGATCAAAAGAACGTGACTAAACGTTTACGTTGCGTAAGAACTCAAGCTGGGGCACAGTGTATCGCTACTAGTAGCAAGGACGCTACTAGTAGCTGAGTGCATTACTACTAACAAAAAGCTACTAGCAGTAATGGCCTCCAACCTAGTAGCTATTTGCTACTAGTAGTAATGCACTTGTTACTAGTAGCGATGCACTTAGCTACTAGTGTCCTTTTAAGCAACCAAGTGGTGGCTACCGGCATTCACATCATTACACACTCGGCTCATCAGACATGGACTTCTCACGTTGCCAAACTTACCAAAGAGCAAAGAAAGAATAGATATAAAAGATGTCAAAAGGAAAAAACAAAAGACAGTTATAAAGAAAAGTCAATTAAATACAAAATTTAAAGAAGAAAGGTCAAAAGAAAGCAAAGAAAGGAAAGGTCTAAAAAAACAAGGAAAAAGTTGTCTAAAGTCTAAAGGGAAAAAAATAATGTCAAATGAAAAAAACAAATGTGTTGCATTTGGTCATCCCTCTTATCCTGTCCCTTTCGAAAGTTGATGGTCCTCTTAGGCGCCGACATGGTCCAGGGTGTCATTCGCCCACTTCAGCCGCTCCAGAATCTGCCACAGAACAGTAGCGATGCACTTGTTCCTAGTAGCTTCTTGTTACTACTAGTAAGGCACTTGTTACTAGTAGCGATGCACTTGTTACTAGTAGCTTCTTGGGAACTAATCTGTTTACAGACCGGAAATACGTGATATGATATGTACCAAGACGTATTGGTCTCCAACCTACAAGCAATGGCCTCCAACCTGTTTACAGACCGGAAGTCAAAAAGTACCTTTATAAGGGCTGCCTTTGTTTCAACTGTTCCTGAAGCGGGCAAACTTGCCAGGCAGGACCCCTGCAATGTGAAATGCATCCATGCATAGCTTCTCCTTCTGACGAACCTCAGGGTGATCACAGAAGCAGATTTAGTCTTTGCATATTCTGGACTGTTCGAGTGTGGGGAAGTCATGGGAAGTTAGGATTCACTTCTGCCGTCGAAATCTCAAATTAGTAGCAAGAAGCTACTAGGGTGGAGGCCATCGCTACTAGGGTGGGCTCCTGGCCCTACTACTAGGAGCAAGGACGCTACTAGGTTGGAGGCCATCGCTCTTAGGTTGGAGGCCATCGCTCTTAGGTTGGAGGCCATCGCTACTAGCTACTAGGGTGGAGGCCATTACTACTCGGGTGGAGGCCCTTACTACTCGGGTGGAGGCCATTACTACTCGGGTGGAGGCCATCCCTACTAGGGTGGAGGCCATTACTACTCGGGTGGAGGCCATTACTACTAGTAACAAGAAGCTACTAGTCATGGGAAGTTAGGATTCACTTCTGCCGTCGAAATGGAACAGCTTATACCCAAGCCTTCCGGAAGAGATCTTTCCAGAACTTGTCCACCTGGCACCAGAGAGGGACCAACTAGGAACAAGAACGCTACGAACGTGGCTCCTGGCATCGCTACTAGGAGCGATCGGACGCTACGAACGGGGCTCCTGGCCGCACTAGGAACAATGTTTGCTACTAGAAACAAGGCTCTTTATAGTTGAAGACCGACCTCGAGTGGTTTTCCTGAGAGAAAGAAACGACCAAGGTGATACAAACCAAACAAACCAACCTTAGGGTCAAGCAAGATCCAAGTCCTTCCTGAAACACTTGTGTGTGTGGAAACTCTACGTCGGCCTGTTTGAACTTTGCCGCTTCGGATGGTAGCTGGCGCTGAATATCCTGAAAATGTGCACGTGCAGATTCTTCCTTTCTTCCTTTCCTATTTTCTTTGTTTCTAGTAACGATGGCCTCCAACCTTTAATAGCGATGGTCTCCAACCTACTAGCAATGGCCTCCAACGTGCGGCTTCTTCCATGCTGCTAACGCTGTGCTAACGCCGTGATAAAGCTGTGCTATAACGCTGCTCGGCCTCGGCCGAGAAAATGTTCTCCAAGTACATCCAAGCACGTTGCACAGTGTACCACTCATCTATCACATCAGAAGCCTGCCAAGTCGTCTCGTGATCTCGAGCTGTACTGTTTTTTCATGTAGAAAAAGAAGAATCGCAAAGGAATGGCTAGGTGAACAGCTGGTATTAGCAAGGTGCCTTACTACTAGTGACAAGAAGCTAAAAGTAGCAAGGTGCATCGCTACTAGAAACAAAGAGCATTACTACTAGTAGCTCCTGGCCTTACTACTAGTAAAGCTACTAGGAGCAAGGGCATCGCTACTAGTAACAAAGAGCATTACTACTAGGAGCAAGGACGCTACTAGGGGCTCCTGGCATCGCTAATGGCAGAATTCTTACTACTAGCAACAAGAAGCTCCACCCATTCGGGCACAACCACGCACAATACAACCCAAAAGCGATGCCCTTTGCTCCTGTTACTAGTAGCGATGCCCTTGTTACTAGCGGTGGCCACCAACCTACTCTTGAACTTATGAAGTTTGGACCGCCAACTCATGTCATTGTTGGACCGGAAACTGGACATACCCTCTGCTCCTAGTAGCAAGTGCCGTAATAAAAAGCGATTAGAATTACATTTAAATTAATAGCTTCTTGTTACTACTAGCAAGGCATCTGTTACTACTAGCGATGCACTTGTTCCTAGTAGCTTCTTTGTTACTACTAGTAAGGCACCTGTTACTAGTAGCGTGGCACTTGTTTCTACTAGCTTCTTGTTACTACTAGTAAGGCACTTGTTACTAGAAGCGATGCACTTGTTCCTAGTAGCGTTCTTGTTTCACATGTTGTACATATTAGGTCGAATCATTGTTTGTTTTGCTTTTGCAAAGTGCTTTGTGTGGCTTTTGATTGGATCGTTTAGAGCCACAATTGACAGAACCACGAACCAATTTGAGGTTGTCCTCAAGAGGAAGTTTCTGTCGCTGCGAGTCATGCTGCGCATTGACTTCCAACTTGCAAGCCTCTTTCCGAAACTTTGTTAGCTTGTCTAAAACTCCCCTTTCCAAGTCAACCCTGAGCGTGTGCATGTTTCGACCTGGGTCTTTATATTCAGGAAAATGTGCTGAAGCTGATGCTAGTGCCAGCTGTGTTGTGGTTAGAATGATGACGAACTGGAACAAGTGCAGAGTTAGCGCTTGGCTTGCCTGGTTGATTTTCTTCTCCCACAATTCAACCTTCTCACGTATGCCTCGGAACAGCGGCCGAAAGCAACAATGACAAAAGAACAGACCATTTGCTACTAGGAACAAGTGCATCGCTACTACGAACAAGTGCCTTACTAGTAGTAACAAAGAAGCTACTAGGGGCTCCTGGCCTCGCTACTAGGAACAAGAGGACGCTACTAGTAACAAAGGGCATCGCTACGAACGGAGCAAGAAGCTTATGATGTGATTGGAGCTCTCGGTACCGAGATTGTGCGGCCTCCAACCTAGTAGCGTCCGTGCTAGTAACAAGGGCATTCCTACTAGTAGCAAATTAGCTAAATAGCCACGCTAGTAGTAACAAGTGCCACGCTAGTAGTAACAAGTGCCTTACTAGTAGTAACAAGAAGCTATTAGCTAAATAGCTACTGTTAGCAAATTAGCTCCGTTCGTAGTAGGGCCAGGAGCCCCTTGTAGCGTTTGTTCCTAGTAGCGATGCCCTTTGCTCCGTTCGTAGCGATGGTTCCTTTCAGCCGTTCTCCCAAAATCCGCTCTTTCGACCACAACAGCGAGCGGCCGTGAATAAAGCGGCTTCCCATCATGGTTGCGATTGTGACGCTGTGATCCTGGCAACCAACGTCTCAAAAGCGCTCTTGCAGAGTCACCTTCTTTAAAAGACCCTACTTTCGAACCTTAAAAAGACAGTTCATAGAGGAAGCACTCCTATTTCTGTTTTCCGATTTCTGGATAGAGTCTTAAGACCCCAAAGGCCTGCTTTTTGGAGAGTAGTAACGGGTAATTCTCCGGTCTCCCAACCTCGCACAAGGTAATGACGTCTTGGAGATCACCAAGAATCCAAAGATCCTGTGGCCACAGAAACTTGAATACAAAAAAGGAAGACCAAGTAATGCCCTTTGTTAGTAGTAGCGAACATTGCTCCTAGTAGTAAGGCCAGGAGCTACTAGTAGCGTCCGATCGCTCCGTTCGTAGTAAGGCCCTTTGCTCCGTTCGCAGCGTGGCCCTTGGCACCCTCGTCAGAATTGGTTCCCGCCTTCTGGTTTCGGTGATTCATGATTGGCAGCTCCAAATCGGCCCAGGCTGCTATCACCTTCCAACAAGTGCCACGCTAGTAGTAACAGGTGCCTTACTAGTAGTAACAAGTGCCACGCTACTAGTAACAAGAAGCTACTAGAAACAAGTGCATCGCTACTAGAAACAAGTGCCTTACTAGTAGTAACAATGTTTGCTATTAGCTTATTGCTTCCAAAAGCACCCAATATAGATCTGCCAAACACATGCAAGCACGAACAGCACAAAGAGGAGCTTCCTCATCCGAAAGAAGAGCTTGGTCCAAATTGGCCCGGCAAGTCTTGCCCCAGCTGATGGACGGTCAGCCAGCACTAAAAGACTAACCTTGTTCTTTCTTTTCTATTTTCAGACTGTTTTTTTGTTTTTTTTCCGTTAGATCTGTTGTTTCCTTTAGACCTTTTCTTTTATGTGTCGGTTAGATATATTTCCCTTCGGTATTTTTTGTGTTCATGTTCTTTAAAGACCTTTTGTCGCTTTCTTCTAGACCTTTTCGCTTCTTCGCCCGTTCGTAGCTTCCTTTGCTCCTAGTAGCGAGGCCAGGAGCCCCTAGCAGCTTCTTTGTTACTACTAGTAAGGCACCTGTTACTACTAGCGATGCACTTGTTCCTAGTAGCTTCTTGTTACTACTAGTAAGGCACTTGTTCCTAGAAGCGATGCACTTGTTCCTAGTAGCTTCTCGCCTGCTCCAAGGATTGCTCCAAGGCAAATTCGCCGCTGGCATTGGCGGAGACTTCGGAGACGTATTCGCGGACGTCGAAAATCCCATTGCCTTCCAACTGGGTCAAACCTCAGTCGACGTTCTTTTGTTCTGGGGGGGGGCGGGTAGGCTGCTAGAGGGGGAGGCTTCTATAGTGGCTAGGAGGTAGCTAGTAGCTCAAGTAGCTACTAGCATGGACGCAGGATAGCTCACGCTTCTATTCATTTGGTTCCTTGATTTTAGGGAAACTTAACCTAGTGGGTTGGACCAAGGCCATCGCTAGTAGGTCGTAGTTATTTAGTAGAATAGAGGGGCTGTTAGGCCGTAGCGAGTTTAAGTAACTAGTAATAAGGGGTAAGTAGTAATTCCAAGTAGTAGCAAGAAAGCAAGTATCGCACAAATGCTGATGCTTCTTCGCATTGATTCCGGGTCTGCCGTCTGCCGTCTTTCTCAGAGCAAAGCTGATACTGTTCGCAGAGGTTGGACCCTTGTAGGCAAGATTGATCCTTGGAGCAGGTTTGATCACTTGTTACTAGTAGCTTCTTTGTTACTACTAGTAAGGCACTTGCTACTAGAAGCGATGCACTTGTTCCTAGTAGCTTCCACTTATTTCTTTCCTTGTAGGCAAGATTGATCCTTGGAGGTTCGATCAGTTCTCGGTAACAAGGACGCTACTAGGGGCTCCTGGCATCGCTACTAGGAACAAGGGCCTTACTACTAGGAACACTGTTTGCTGGTAGAAACAATATACTAATTCTTGTTTCTACTAGCTTCTTTGTTATTACTAGTAAGGCACTTGTTACTAGAAAACACATTATACATTGTATAAACACCATGAAACTGTCAGGTTCCGCTTCATATCACAAGTCCTTTTGATCTTTCCTTCTCGTTCCTTGTCCTTTCTTTTCTTCTATTTCACTCTTCATCCGTCTTCACCAAATATGATATGTCACACATCGTCATGCGCATTGTGATGCTGTCGTCGGTTTCCTCGTTGCTCAACGCACCCACAACTGGGCGCCGTGCTTCTTAAAGATCTTCTCCCAGTGCCTCACTTGGAACCCTGACTTGAAGGCATCATCGCTACGAACGGAGCAAAGGGCATCGCTACTAGGAGCAAACGGACGCTACTAGGGGCTCCTGGCCTTACTACTAGGAGCAATGTTCGCTACTGGTAACAAACTCACTTCTCTTTGGTTCGCTTTGCCTCACCCCATCTTCAGATGTCTTCATTTCTCTCTCTACTCTCTCTCTCTCTCTCTCTCTCCTGAAAGCCTCTCTGAGAGTTCTTGGGCGTTCTTCACAGCTGTATCTTGTCTTGTTTTCTTCTGACTTGGAGTTCAAGTGCCTGACGTGCAATTCGTACAAGCGGAAGTCATCCCGGCCATCCCTCCCTTCCTACAACACTGCTATCGGCTATTGTTACTAGTAGCTGTAGCTTCTAGCCACTAGTAGTAATGCCCTTGCTACTAGTAGCGATGGCCTGCAACCTAGTAGTTTCTTGCTGTGTACTTTGTGCCCGTGGAAACTTGGGATCTGCACCGTGGACGAAGGGCAGGATTGCCTAAATCCAGGATGCAAGGCATTCGTTCTCGCCTGAGCCAGCGACCCTTGAAACCGAAAAAACATATCCTCTCTTTTAATATAAAAATTTATGAAAACCTACTAGCAATGGCCTCTAATCTTTTTTTTTATTGACTGTCAACGTGTCTGTCAATTGTGTTACTGCTTGTCCTCCAGTCTGTCGTGGTCTCCAGTGCCACTTCATTTGGCGAGCGCTAACGCGGTAGAAGTAGCGTTCAAGATCCAAGTTCCATACCATTCTTCAATCATCCCCTTCACCCGCACTGCCACCTTCGCAAACAAAAAGCGATGTGTCTTCCAACAATGTCCTTTCCAGAAAATGATTGACAACAATGATGGAAGAACCTCCATTTGTGTATTGGCACATCTTTCCATCTGTGGGAAATTTTGACATTGTTCAAAAGGGCAAAACCCTGTTCACCTTACCGTAGCTACCTCAGCACTGCAAGAAAAAATCACAAAGCAGTTTCAACTGCTTTAAAGCAAGAAAATGCAACAACTGCAATTTTTAAAGTATGAAGTCTGCCACAAAAAGGAATGGTCGAACTCCGGTCGGACCTCGTCTCCGTCCAGTGAGCGTGTCAAGCCATTGGCGGTTTTGTAGGAGGCCATGACTTGTTTGTTCATCGCCTCCACGTCCACCTAAGCAAACAAAGAACGCACCAACAAAAACCAAAAGTACAGCAAAGCAAGTGGAGGTCGTTCCGATCTTTGCTGCCGTTGATGTCTTTCACCCGCTCTGCTGGCCTTCACAAACTCCGAGACATTCCAATTGTGCGCCATTTCTTGCCACTGGGCAGTGACCTCGCGCTTTCTGAAAGTTGCGTGTGGACGTGGGTTTAGTCTGTGCCACGGAAGTGCCCGAATACGTCAGTCAGATAAAAAAGGAATTGGTTGTGGCAGACAGCGGGCGATCTTTTTCCACTCTGACTCAAGGGCCTGTGAGCCCAAATGTTGCGGCACAGGAGAAAAGTGTCTTTACAGCGGCTCACCGTTCACACGTGCAAATCAGAGAGGGGTTCAGTCTCATCGTGAACGCGACGTACTTGGGCCACATGACTGGCCACATGCTACAGGGCCCATGAAAACGTGACGACAGGCGACCCTCGACCCCTCTGTTCCTCTTCGGGGCAACACTTTAACCTACACCGAGGAGCCCAGCAAAAGCGCCACGCGGAAGGAATGACCACGGCCACCGGCCCGTTTCTGATCATAGCAACCTTGATTGCAGGTCGGTGTGGTGAGCCCTTCAATGATTCAACGTGGGCTTTCGGGCTGGCTCATTCAGGCGTTATTTCCGCCAAGGTTTGAGCACTTTTTGTCGCTTGTCCAACCTAACAAACTGCAGTCATTCTTTTGTCAGATTGCAGAACCCGCTGCTGAGAGTGGTCTGCTCAACATCGACCCCGTTTGGGCATTGGATGTCTTTGTTGACAAGGTCACCTTCCCCTGGCCGCTCATCTGAACTCCCTATTGAACGCTGCTTTGTCGCTGATCAGAACTTGCGTTGCTCCATATTCTATGGACTTGCAATATCCCCTCCTGCTTGGTTGAGGGCACTCAGGTTTCGAACCCAACAAATGGGAGCTTTCAGGAGGCCTCCTGTCATCTCCTGACGTTATGTTTCGTTTTGCATCCTTTCTTCATCTTCTCCCTCATAATCATCCCCTGATATCTGCATGATTACCGCTTTTCAGCGGTTCAAGTTCTGCAAACGATTGTTTCTTGGAAAGTCACACCACGCGGCACTCTACTGCCAGGCGTCTCCTGGCAAATCCCAAAGTCGGCCTGAAATTTGGGCACCGTTGCCACGCGCTTCCAATCTTTGACACCGAAACAACAAGTCGCTTGCAGGCTTTGGATCAGGACACTGGCAGGGACTGGCTGGCCTGGCTGGCCTTTACATCCGGCTTGGATGACTGCATTCACCCTTCGGGGTAAAGCCCTTCCCCCTTGCCTTTTGAAAAGCATCAATGCACAAAAACGTATTTCATGCGTCTTCGGGTTTGTATCGCCTCTCCGTCCTCACACTATTGAAAATAATCAAAGAAAAGAAATTCACGGAACAAACGCTCGCTGCAAGTCGCCCGCAAGGCCCTCCGCCGCGCGCAACCCCGCTTCGCCATTGACGGCCACTTCTCGACGTCTAAAACATTAGCCTTCCAGGTTGCCACGTCACTTGAGTCCTGTTTCGATGCCCTTGGACGCGCCCCGAAGACACGGGCACAACCTTCCAAATGTTCATTGCCGCAGCCCCGTACTCTGACCAGATCTTTGGCGGCCTATTTTTGAATAATTCCCAATGAACTGACTTTTGCCTGGACTTCTGCAATGGGCCCTCTTCCTCTAAAACTCTGCTTTGCTATCTAACACCTTCACTTGATGATGCCTTTCAAACTGGCCATGAGAAAGTTCACTTCACTGAAGCCTGGATGCTTTGCTTAATTGGGCTGACAGAGCTCCGCTAAAACGTGAGGAAGGATAGAAGCCACGCTCAAGACCACGAAGCTGGTAGTCTCCATCATGACACCCTGACAGGTGCTGGAGGCGCTCATCAGGCTTGCCTGTGCCGTGTCTGATTGTATCTTTGTGTGTGTGTCATTTCAGACCGCCTTGACATGGACAGTCGCTGTTCTGAGTTCCTCCCCTGCAGCGGCTTCAAGTCGAAGTTCTTCGAAAAGGAACACTGCCCTTTCTGCAACCATTCTTGGAGAAGCTGAATTGGAGTTCCTATCCCACTTTTTCTAAATCCAAGCTATCATCGGAACATCTTCAACCTCTCACTATGGGTCCCGTCGTCACCTTTCTGCTGTCTAAATTGGACCGTCCCACTTGTCAGTGCAGATTTGGGAGGTAAGGGAAGGGTCGGTTCCGGAGATGTGTGTTTCACAACCTGCTCGAAAAAGACAGTGGCAGGGCCGTGCATATCACAAATGAGGCACATGGTCTTGTTGAGCATGTGCAAAGCACTACGGCTAATGAGTCTGGGTGTGAATCAGCAAAGATGTTCAAAACGCACGATTCTCTTGGAGCTGAAATTGGATCTTGAGCCAAATGTTATGTTATCACGTAAGAACTTGTATGGTTGTCTCTTGTGGCTACAGGTTGTAAGCCAAACTATTGTGCTCATGGCCAAAAAGAGGACATGTGCGGCGTCTCTGTCATTCGCCTCCCAGAGCTTCAGTTTGTCATCAAAGACCTTCCTTCAAAGCGACGAGATAGAATCTTTCGACGACTTGCCATGCAATATGCCGAGCTTTTACGAACTCGTGAAGACCGAAGCCCCACGAGACTTCTTCTCCTGGTCTTTGCCACCTCTGCAAACTGAAAGTGGCCGTTGCTCTCTTCCTGAGCACATCGGACGAGAGGTGGCCATCGCTACTAGGAGCAAGGACGCTACTAGGGGCGCTCCTGGCCTTACTAGGAACAAGGACGCTAGTAGCTTTGAGGCCATTCCTATTAGTAACTCAAAAAAAGATTGTTTAGTGTGGAGGCCATTGCTATTGAAGGTACACGAGGGCGGCGCGGCAAAGGCAGTGACCCAGTGGCATTTGGGGCGCGGACATCAGCTTGAACTTGAGGAGCAGGGCCGAGCAATCCCTGAAAAAATCACAGAACTGCTTGACTGGCCCTTTTGTTTCCGCTGTTGCCCTCTTGGAATATAGTAAGCTGAATAAGCTTTTCCTTCTGGTGAAGAAGAGAGACTCTCCACGCTGCTGTGGACAGGCCGGCCTCGTAGTCTGTGAAAGTTGCGGCTCTCTCTTCAAGAGCTTTGACCTGGAAAGCTTTCCGATTAAGAACGAGAACGCTAGTAGGGGCTCCTGGCATCGCTACTAGGAGCAAGGAGGCCTTTGCTTTCAGGTTGGAGGCCATAGCTGTTAGGAGCCAATTCAGCTTCACAAAGCGCAAGCGGAATCGCTGGAGAGTCCCGCTCGGGTTTCGTGGATCTTGTCCAACTCCTCAAGGACCTGAAGAGCTCGGTACGCTTCGCGCCCTTCGTTCCAGTTCAAGTGCACTTTGAAGAAAGGAAAAAAGGAGAGAAAGAGAGAGAGAGAGAGAAAATAAAATAAATAAAGGACATAACCTTGAGTGTCACCCGCCGCCTTTAGGGTGGCGGAGGGAGCTTTTTTGAAGAAGCGCGAGCTATCGTGCGTCGAGTCGGTGGTAGCGTTCTTGTAGCTACTAGCTACGTAGCTACCTACCTAGCTAAACTACATCCACTCGCGGCCTACCCCCCAAAAATAAAGCTACTAGTAACAAGTGCATCGCTACTAGTAACAAGTGCCTTACTAGTAGGGTCTCCAGGTTTCAAATAAAGGTGATCGGAACGTCACAACGGTGATGTTGCATCCGGTTTCGGCTGTCAATGCTTGCCTCTGGGGCTGGAGGGACGCACTTGAAACGGTGGGGAACGCAATACTCTTCTGATGCAAAAGAAATTCCAAACAAAGTTATTTAACAAAGCGATTCCTTCTGTTTCTACGACTTTGTCCATTTTTCCTGTAGCCCTTTGGACGTGTCTTTTGCTCTTCCTTTCGTTCTTTACAAAGCAACTCCAACCTCGTGAGCAACCACAATCTTCTCTGGATCAATGAAGCTTCCGGTGAACAGTTCCTCCAAAGCGTCCGTTTGCTCGAGTTTTTTGTATGTCTTTGAAGCTTTCCAGTAACTAGAAGCTAATAGTGGAGGCCATCGCAAGTAGGTTGGAGGCCATCGCTTGTAGTAACAATAAAGCTCAAAACGTGGGGCTCAATTTGCAAATTGGCCTTCTTCCCTATCGAAAGCACGAGGAAAAAGAAGGGAAGAAGAAATGGCCTCCAACCTACAAGCGATGGCCTCCACCCTTGAAGAAATAGAAAGAAAAAAGGTCGAAAGAAAATAATGGTTCTCTTCAGTTTCTTAAAGGGCTGGGTCCGCTTTCCGGTTCATCAGCGCCGACACAGACTGTGGCCGCCAGTCTCTTATTCCGTAGGAGAGAACCCCTATAGTAAACTGTTTGAGGAAAAGGAACAAAAAAGAAAGGAAATCAAAAAGAGGCCATCGCTTGTAGGTTGGAGGCCATTGCTTTTAGGTTCGAGGCCATTGCTAGTAGAAACAAAGAAAAAACAAGAAGGTCTTGCCTTTGCTCCTAGTAACAAGTGCCTTACTAGTAGTAACAAGAAGCTATTAGAATTAGAATAAGGTCTTGCCTTTGAGAGCAGTTTTTGAAGCGAACGTTGCACCGAATTGTGGGACAAAGTTTGTTGAGCTGCTTCGCACACCAAACTAGAATTAGCACATAACCTGCTACTGCGTTCCCTTCACCTGCTTCGTAGCAACAAATAAGACCAAAGCTAAGAAAATGGTAAATATCTTCCTTGCTTTGCTGCTAGAATTAGAATAGATTTAAGTAAATTAACTAATAGCTTCTTTGTTACTACTAGTAAGGCACTTGTTACTAGTAGCGAGGCACTTGTTCCTAGTAGCTTTGCTGCTGATTACACCTTCTGGTCCGATTCTTTCTCTCCTCATCTGTTAATTTGTCAAGCATGTCCTGCCCATCAGGTCCTCCGAGACGGATTTCATCTCTTCCTCAACCTTGAGGGCTCTCTGGTAGGTCTCCAAAGCCATCTCCTACTTTCTGCCAGCAAAACACAAGGGTGGAGGACATCGCTACTAGGCCATCGCTACTAGGTTCTTTTTGCTATTGAAACAACAATGATGTTTGAGCCACAATCAATAGTGTGAGCACCATCCTGCGTCCACTGCCCCTACTTAATTAAGCAAGGGCGGGCTAAAACCAGGAAAACCTGCTTAGCCCGGACGCTTTCCACATACGGAACGCATGCTTCTAGTTCCGACATTCCCCATGCCCGGCCCCTCAGCACCGCTGACAGGACATGAAGTGCCGTGCTTTTCTCTTTAATTCTTCAATTCTTGTTTCTCATAGCTTCTTGCTCCTAGTAGTAAGGCCAGGAGCCCCTAGTAACGTCCTTGCTCCTAGTAGTAAGGCCAGGAGCCCCTCATTTTTCTCCTCCTTCATCTCTGAGATAAAGTGGCTGGCTTCAATCATTTTCTTGTTTGCAAAGTCGCTCTCCTCACAAGTCAAGTGCAAAAGACTCTGCCGGGTTGCCTTTTGAGTACAAGCTGTGTCTCCTTGTCTTTCAGTCCCTCGTAGTAAAACTCGTCTTCGTCAATCATCCGAACTTTGAAATCCCTGACAACTCACGTGGTCAGTAACAAGTGCCTTACTAGTAGTAACAAGAAGCGAACGTAGAAACAAGTGCCTTTCTGCTTCTTGTTACTACTAGTAAGGCACTTGTTACTAGTAGCGATGCACTTGTTCCTAGTAGCTTCTTGTATGTGGAGGCCATACATTCATAGTAGGTTGGAGGCCAGCAACAACTCATGAAGCCTGGCTGCAAAGCGTTCCAGTCTCCGCCTCAGGAGAGAGTACATCTGCTCGACCTCAAACATCAAGTCCTCCATCTCTTCTCGATCCTGGGAAAAGAACAGCGAAGTCCATTTGACTCGATTTGTTACCAGTAGCGTCCTTGCTCCTAGTAGCACGGCCAGGAGCCCCTAGTAGCGTCCGATCGCTCCTAGTAGCGATGCCAGGAGCCCTGGAAAAGCTTCTTGTTACTACTTCTATTACATCTCTTCCAATCCCCCAAGGCTTTCGACCTCTTGGATCGTTTGGTACATCTTCACCTGAGCGAAGCCGAGCTCCGCGAGCAGAAGGATTCCGGTTTCGGTTGGTGATTCAGAAGACGATGTTGGGGCTCCCAGCGTAATTGGCGAACTTGCTCAGATCCTTCTCGCGCTGATCCAACTGCTTGTTGGCCTCAAACAATGGTAATTACATGCTTTGTCTGTCCAAGGAGTTCAAAAAAATGCACAATGCAACATAGCTGACATAGCTCTTGACTCAAAGGGCGGTAAGCAAGAGCTCACTAAGCATAATTAAGGAACAATTTGGAGCAATGTGCACAAAGCGCCCCACGCTGGTGGTTAAAGGTGGTCTAGTCACCGGCAGTTTGTCATTGGCAGTTCTCGACAAAGACTAGCTGTTGGAAAGGAAAAACTGCCTGTGGCCGTGCAGTTTCTTTTTTTTGCGATTGATTTGTTCGAATACGTGTGAGAAACTGGGACGCAAAGCTAAAAGGGCTTACTTTGGGTTCTCTGGTAGTGCAAGTGCACTGGGAGAAAATCAAGCAGACACTGGGAGCCATCGCTACTAGGGTGGAGGCCATCGCTTGTAGGTTGGAGGCCATTGCTATTGGGTTCCTTATCTATTAGGTTCCTTTTGCTATTAGGTCGCTACTAGGTTGGAGGCCATCGCTAGTAGTAACAATAAAGCTACTAGTATGTCTTTGAAGCTTTCTAGTAACTAGAAGCTACTAGGAGCTAATAGCTTCCTTGAATCGTTTCACCTGTAGTAACTAGATGCTACTAGGTTGGAGGCCATCGCTACTAGGGTGGACTGAATCCTTGAGAGGGAGATCCCCAACAGATCTTTAGACATGCGTAGCTAGGTAGGACACTGCGTAGCTCACGCTATTCATGTGGTTCCTAGATTTTTCTTGAACAACATGTGTTCTTTAATATGTGTCATTGCAGCTTTATTCACTCTTTTTCATTGTGTACCACTTATTGACACTAAGCAATCCCTTAGCTGTGCGACAAGCCCTATCCTTGAATAGAGAAAAACTCATTACCACCCGGCTGTTTTCAAATAGTTGCTTCTTTTCTTGATTTGTTAGTTCCTCTCCCCTCTCTTTGTTAAGCTGCTTTGACTTTCTCTTGTTCACGAGTTGTTCCTATTCTCCAGCCTCTTTCTTCTTGCCCAAGTTCATGTTTGTCTTAATAGGTTCTTTGCGTGATCCAGATTGTAAGGAGCTAGAACAAATTCAAAATGAATGAATTAATTAAGTGCCGTTATCAATGCAATTATGACACAACTTTTTGCTATCTAATTAGTCACCCCCTGCTTCAACAGTGGGCGTTCCCTTCTTAAACAAGAACTTCTAAAGTTGTGATCCTGATAGCGGAGGAAAATTTTTTGAAGACTAAGGCTCTTTTCAATAGAGGAGAACCTCCCTTATTGTTTCATTTGTTTAATCCCGCTCTTACTTAATTAAGTAGGCATCTACTTGATTAAGTAAAGGACTAAACACGCTCCTAGATACTTGGATGCTACTACATATGGACACTTCTTCAAGGAAGCTCAAAACCAATGATTTGGTTCCTAGATGTTTAGGGAAACTGAACTTTGACATTCCCGCGATCAAAGTCTTATCAAACAGAGGGCATCGCTACTAGGAGCAAGGACGCTACTAGTAACGGCATTGGGGGACCTTTAGACTCCCTAGTAGCGAACCTTGTTACTGGTAGCGTCCTTGCTCCTAGTGGCGATGCCAGGAGCCCCTAGTAGCTTCTTGCTCCTAGTAGCGACTTTAGACTCCCTTTACCACCTTTACCTTCCTGTCTTTCTTCACGCTTCCTCACTCCCTCACTGGAAGTGCTGGCGCACTGTGCAGCGGAAGTGGGTAGTCTTGGCATTCCAAAGGCATTATTGCTGGCAAGTGTTTGGCGAGGGGGCAAGGCATCCCAGACACGAAAGATCTATTTCTCAAGTCTAGAGGAAGAAAGAAAGCTCCAAAAATAGCATTTAAGAAAAGTCAATTTAAAGAAGTCACAGGTAGTGATAGTGCAAGCTAGTAGATACCCTTAAGAAATCCCTGCCTGGTCATATCTGCCATAGCACTCCTTCCGATGCACTGAGCTTGAATCAATGCCAAGTTGAAAATCTAAGCTGACCCGAGTTGACGTAGTAACAAGAAGCTACTAGGAACAAGTGCCACGCTACTAGGAACAAGTGCCTTACTAGTAGTAACAAAGAAGCTACTAGGAGCAAAGGGCATCGCTAGTCTCAGCCGAAGAAGGACTCACAATCGAAGAACCGAAGAACAAGTCGTCTTGTTACGATAAGTCGTCTGGTCGTCTGGTCTTCCTCTCGGCCTCCAACCTACAAAGCAATGGCCTTCAACCTATTAACGTCTCAAGACCAGTGTCGATCTTCGTCGAAAGTTTGGTGACCAGACGGTCGTTTGGTCTTCGTCCCTCCTTGCATTTCACTCTCGCCAGGCCCAAAAGGCAGTTCCTCATGCAGGTCAAGGCTGCCTGTCTCGAGCGAATGTGACGTGCAAACGAGTGAAGAAGACAGAAAACAAACAAAAAGAATAAGTCTAATGAGTCTAATGTAGTTTGCTAGTAGGTTGGAGGCCATCGCTAGTAGAAGCCAAAAAAAATGGAAAGAAGGATCTCTCCAGGGTTCGGGTGGTGAAGTCCACCAATCCCAAGTGCTCAAGCGACAGCATTGCTACGATTGCAATGAACCCAAGTGCCAAGTGGCACGTTTTCCCCCGAAGCACAATGTCAACATGGACGAAAGCACAATGTCAACAGAAGGAGGATTAGTTGCTTCTAGGTTGGAGGCTATCGCTATTAGGTTGGAGGAAGGCTGTTTATCGATTGCAATGCTGCATGATCACTGGTCTGGAATCCACCAACTGTTCAGCGTGATGGCAGCTTGCATCACGTGAATGTCAACACGGAGCTTCGTAGCAGAGTGGGAAAGTTCTCCGAGATTGTCAAAACCCACCAAGGAGCAAGAACGCTACTAGGAACAAGTGCAACGCTTCTAGTAACAAGTGCCTTACTAGTAGTAACAAAGAAGCTACTAGGATTGTCAAAACCACCTATGGTCCGCTTCAGGCTTTGCTGGGTTTTTCTGTAGAGAGGAAAAGGACAGCAAAGCGTAGCAAGGATGTGTTGCAAAGCGTCGCCGTTTGCGGACTCAACACCATCGAAAAGCGCCTTGTTCCTAGTAGCTTCTTTGTTACTAGTAGTAAGGCACTTATTACTAGTTGCAAAACTTACTTAAGAGAAGTGAGTTTGTTACTAGTAGCGAACATTGCTCTGTTCGTAGTAGGGCCAGGACCCCCTAGTAGCGTCCTTGCTCCTAGTAGCGATGCCCTTTGCTCCTAGTAGCGTCCTCTTGCAGTTGTCACCACTTGAGAACAGTTGTGCAGTTGCATTGAGTTACGTGTACAGCTACATGTTTTCCTGCAATCTTTCATGGAGCAGGAAACAAGTCAGTAAATGAACAAATAGAGAAAGAAATAAACATAAAAAAGAGAGGTCTAAAGCAAAAAATGAACACATAAAGAAACCAAAAAAAAAGTCTAAAAAACACAATAGAAGGTCTAAAAGGTCTTTAGGAGTTCAGCGCCCAACTGAATTCCACCCGATTAACATCAGACCTTGAGACCTGTCTTTCTTCATTTTCCTTTGATTCTAAAAACGATGGCCTCCAACCTAATAGCGTCCTTGCTCCTAGTAGCGATGCCCTTTGTTCCTAGTAGCTTCTTGTTCCTAGTAGCGATGCCAGGAGCCCCTAGTAGCGTCCTTGTTCCTACTAGCAAACTATATTAGACCTTTCTTATGTTTTTTGTGTACCTTTCTTGCCTTTTTATTTTCTTTCTTTAGACTTTGAGACCTGTCTTTCTGTTGTGCATACATAGTAAATACACAGTAAGCATACCATCGTCTGGCAGCAGCATCTGGCGTCTGTGTCGTTGTCGGAATTCCGCCTCTGGAATTGGTACCAACTTGTCCTTCAAGCCCTGGCCATTGACCACAATGATACCCCAAACCTGAACAAAGCGTGGCATGTTGAGAAGTAAACGACGTACAAACGACAATGTCTTCCGAGCAACAAGTGGTATCTTGAAGGAAGCAAGTTCTTCCTGAAACCTGACGCCAAGAAGGGAGATCCAAACTGAGTTGGTCGTTGCTAAAGCATGTGGAAACTCTTAAAAAGTGAAAGTTACGAGCTGAAGGCATTGGTCAAGATTAGTTTTCGAGCTGAACGGATTGGCCAAGACATTTGCCATCTCATCTTGTCCATCTGCACGGAGAGTTCATCGTAGTTGTGCTCCTGGGTTTCTGGAAGTGTCCATGGGAAATTTCTGTGGTCATGATGTGCAAAAAAAGGAAAGAGAAAGATTTAGACGGTCTAAGAATAACGAATGATTGCTTTGTGAGTTTCCTTCAAGGGAAAAAAACGGACGATGCTTTTCTTGAGCCACGAACAGCGTTTGTTGGTGCTAAGTGGTGTATGTCACACCTATGCTCACATCATGTGAAAATGAGGGGATTCGCACTCCCCCTGATGGTCGTACCATCACCTTCTAACACATCACCAGGTTTTTTCATCTGATGGTGTGCAGAAATTCAAAACTTCCGTCCGACTCACCGTCCTCATCCTGCAGTCCGCCGTTTTGCTGGGGAAGAACTGCCGTCTCAATTCCCAGCCAAATCGGCCATTGATCAGCCTCGGGAGGTAATTGATCACCTGAACTGACCGCCTGGGACCCCATGTTGACTCCCTGGCCAGGATCGTCTCCACTCTCCCCCCGACGCTCACGTCCTTGGAGCCTTAGCTCATAGCCCGTCTTCGTGCCACCCTCGATGGACTCAATGTCACAAGCACTGATGCCCCCTCCACCGTAGGTGACTTCCTCGTCTTCTATCGTCTCTGAACCTTGTAAGGCCTTTCGACCTCGTTGCACTGCTCTTGACCTTCCTGGAATGGAGCCGCCATAGCCCCCGCCTGCGGCCACCGAACCCGGTGGAGGAAGTGGTCCCGGCCTGACATCACGTCGGTCGAGATTTCCTGCTCTTCCTTCTGGCAGGGCCTCAAACTTCACGTAGAAGAAAGTGTAGCCACACCATTCATGAAGCCCTTCCACATCTGAGCCCCTGTTTTCGATCCAGTCATCGGTGATGACCACGCGCTTCCAAACTTCTCGCGGATTTCCCCGCGAAAAAGCCACCGTGACTCTGGTCGCCGAGAGTCTTGCTATCGACATTGGGGTTCCACGATGCAATGGATGGAAGGTTCGCACTCGGGACTTCTTCAGCACCCTGACCCACCATTCGCCACCACCGAGGCCCACACCAAGGCATTCCCACCTGTCTGTTCCAGTCGGCGGCGTACTAAACCTCATCAGCTCCCATGGAAGATCCGTGCCAAGTCCCACATGGGTGATTGGTGCCCTCAAAGCACTCACCCGCGGAGGCTGCCGAATCCATGGCTCGCGCGCGGATGCACCGCCCGGGGAGCCCTTTGGGCTAAAGTCGCGACCGGGTTTGGAGACAGGTTCATTTTCCCTTGTCTCTTCTTGACATTTTCTTCTTTCGACATTGCCCTCTTTGGACGCCCCTGTCCGAGCAAATGCCGGTTCACCCTCTTTTTTGGGGTCATCTCCACCCTTCCTACCCATCAGCCAAGCTACACTTGAAGCTACCGCTGCAATGGTCACACTTTTGGCGACCTTGGCAACCGCACTAACTGGCTGCCAACATGAAATGCCTATCAGCCCGCTCAGAAGCCCGATCAGCCTCTTGACCTGCACACAGTCCTCCGCTTCCTTCACCTGGGTTGCTCCAGCACACAAGCCAGTGAACTCCCGGAACCTCCTCCACGAAGGCGGACTGACAATTGACTTTGTCAATAGGTCCACCGACAACGATGCTCCCGGCTCGTGACGTGCCTGCCAGCATCCCGTGCGGATTCGCTCCCGCAACACAAAGCTTCGCAGCCTGAGATGTCTCGTCCGCCATGGGCCATCCGGTGACTGCAAAATGCGGATGCCAGACTGCGAGTCACCATGAAGGACACAGTCCATGACCTCATTCACATCACCACTTTCCAAAATCGCAACGATTGAGGCGCACGACTCACCCATGGTTAAGGCATCAGAATACCCCATGAGCTCTGATTCTGAGCTAGATAGGGTGCCAAAGGGCTGCTGTTTGCTTTCCCACTGTATAGGAGCACCTGAGTACATCGCTATAAGGCCTTGGTGACCGCGAGATCCAGGAGGGCCGAATGAAGCGTCCGAATACATGTGAATGCCCTTGCTCTCTTCCCACTGGGGTTCATCAGGTGAAGCTTCATACAACAGGCCCAAACCCATGGTGCTTTGCAAGAACCCCAGGACCTGCGCTCCATATCGTTGAACTCGACATGGACAATGTGTCACCTGCCTCCCCATCCACGACACGGCGAAGGAGATGTCTGGCCTCGACCTCACTGCCAGCCACAACAACTCTCCAACCAAGGTTTGCGACTTTCGGACCTCTGCAACCTCAGGATTCATCTCCTCAGTCTCATCCAAGACACCTGGCAGCGGGCTTTGAGCTGATTTGACATCAGGATATCTTGCCAAAAGATCTCGTAGGTATGACTCCTGATGCAAACGAAGTCCCCTCTTCTCCTGGGCAATCTCAAAGCCACAAAACCTCAAGCTGCTTTCAGGCGTCAACCACTCCGGTGTCGAACATTTCCACTGTTGCTGGAACCGAGCGATGGTCGATCGAGTCACCCTTTCATCACCAGTCACCAGGATATCATCGACGTACACAGCGACAAATCCGTACACCTTGTCGGGCAACCTTGACTTGGATGGATCATCGAGGATCACCTTCCACAAGTTGGGCTCTTGAGTGCGAGCCAGCTTCCAGCATTCACCTTCATCAGTCCAGCGGAACTTGGCCATCTCTTCGTCCCTGAATCTCGCCCAGTTGAGAGGCGCCTCCTGGAGACCGTAGAGCGAGTTTCTGACCTCCCAGATTTCGTCAGCAGCGCACACCTTTGCTTCCACCAGCACCCGAGGAGGACGCGTAATGAGCAGCCTCTGCTGTGCATCTCTTCTTGGAGCTAGCAAGAACGCTGTCTTCACGTCCAGACTCGCTACGGACCATTTCTCCAGGGCACTCTTCCTGAGTAGAGCTCGCAGAACTGTCGCATCCGCCCCTCCTGCATATAGTTCAAAGGGCGAAGAGGTAGATGATGCTTCCAATGGATTGACAGCCTTCGTCTCCACCTGGGACTTTGTGAGATGGTTGCCACAAATGACCACCCTTGCCCTATGCCGTCCATGAGGACTCTTGACCGTAGGGACCAGCATTGCTGGCGCTTCTTCCCGCCAGGGATATCTCGGATCCTTCTTCAAAGCCTCCTCTGTGGTTGGAAAGATCGCTCCGGTAGTAGTGGACAGAGAGACATACTCATCCTTGAAGGGTTCGACCCACTTGTGCAACTCCCTTCGCACTTGGGCGAGCGACACCGTGTAGGTCTGAAGGACCAGCGAGGGCTTCTGCTCTTCCCCTTCTCCTGAACCCCCCCGCCGCCTGCAACGCCGCCATCCTCCAACTCTCAAGAGCTCCATGTTGGCGTTGAAGGCGCTCCTCCCGGACCATCAACTGTTCTTCCAGGACTTGAAGCCATCCACCGTGTTCGCTGCCCTGCTGTGCTCCCACCGCCACCTGATTCAACTGATCCAGCCACATTCTTTTCAACTGCCAGTGACTACGAACTTCTTCCTCATGCCACTGCACTGCCTGAGTCCATGAACAGGCTTGCAAATCCAAAGCTTCCTCCCCCGGAACCTGCAGCCCATCCTGCTCCTTCGGCAGATCTCCTTCACAAAATCGACATCCAGCTCCTCGATGTTCCCCCAGTTGCCAAAGATCGCACTCGAGGCACTTCACCATCCCTTCTGCCGACTCTCCACAGCTCCCGTTGTCTTCGACCTGCAGGCAAGCTCCTGGGTCTGGATCTGTCCCCCCCCCTGTCCTGAAGTTGGACAACGCGGACAGGGCTGGTTGTTGTGCAGGCTGCACCTCCTCATACATGTGTGAGATCACGTCCTGCAATGGGTGAGGATCCAAACTTTGTTTTCCAGTCACTCTCCTGCGAATGATGTCTGCATCAATCTCCTGGAGCTCGAGAGCCGCTTGGTCCGCTTCTGGAGATGGCTGTAGAGCCGTTCGAACGTGTTGAACACGACCTTGATGGCGAACCACCCAACCGCTTGTCATCAGTGGGCTTGGACCAACCAGCTGCATGGAGATGAACGGGTTGACCAACTGACCAGCCTTGTGCCATCTCTTCGTGCGAACTGCCACCTTCGACCCAAACCGTAGCATTGGTTGCGCCGGAACACCTAGTCTGCTGAGCTGCTGTCTGCATCTCTCCTCTGCCGCATGGCGAATCGCTCCTGGCCACAGTTCTGGTTCCACTTGTGCCTGATGGATGATCAGCCTCATGCGTCTCTTAACTTGTTGCACTTCTGCTTCTGCACGGCCATTGGCCTGTGGATCGTCGCCCTGCGTGAAGGTCTGTACCAGGTGTCTGTGGCCGCACCATTTTGACACCCTCCTCGACAGCATGCCCTTCTCCCTGTCGCTGTGCAATCTCATCACATTGATGCCCAGACACCTGAACCTTGCATAAAGTCGGGACAAGCCTCCCAGGAGCGAATCCACACCTCTGTCTTCCATCACCTCCACCATTGTAATGTTCTGCAGCTGATGGGGCCTCCGAAGCTCATCGATCTCTTCCCGACCAATCACCTGCTCCTCACCCTCCTCAACAAACTGCTGATCTTCTAACTCTGGTGGATCTTGACGGCCATCACGTTCTAGGTCTTCCTCCTCCAGGTCCTCTTGATCCAAAGATGGCACGTCCCTCACCTGCTCCTCAGTGAGATCCTCTTCTTCGGCCGGTTCCCCCGGCAGATGGTCCGGCACCGGCAACGGCACCGTTCCCAACAAAGCGTACTTGGCCATTCTTCCAGTTGCAGGATCTTTCCCCACTGGGAATGGTCCAATGATGTCCACCGCCAAGGTGTATGCAGAAGACGCTGTCCTGGATCTCCGATGTGGATTTTGCGTACCCATTGCTTCCAGGCAGGTTCTGCAGTCCCGCCTGAAGGGCGTGTGCTGCATCCGCACATGTCGCCGCCATTGGTCCATATCCAATCGCGCCACCTTGCAGTTCTCATCCTCCTCAAGCATACTCCTCAATGCCAGCTGGATGGCCTTGACAAAGCCCGGCGACCATTCTGCCATCCTCTGACTCAAATCCCCTCCGACTGGGTTGGTGTTTCCTCCTCCTTGGCATAATTCAAGCTGCTCCAGCATGGGCAAGTTCGACAACACCCCCGTCGGCTTCCTCCGTGGATGACCCGTCGCTCCCTGGTCGAAGTTGATCATCCTCATAGTCTCATCTTCCTCCAGCAGCTGTTGCAATTGAGGCCACTCAAAATAAGATGGATTCTGCCGATCCTCCTCCGACTCCAAATAGGATGCTGGATCCCTTGGCGACTCCAGCAAGAAGCCTGTCAATCGGCCCATCTGCTGTCCCTGTTTGGCCAGCTTCCAAAGTGCAACCTGCTTGAGAACCAGCGTGGTGTCGTTCGCGACCATCTGAGCCTCCTTAGGAGTTAGATCATCCAATCCCCACCTCAGATCACCTCTTGCTCTGACTTTGCGAGGTCCAGGTGGCCCACGATTCCGCAACCTGCTGACTGTTCTGCATGGAGGACCTCCCAAAACTGCCTTGATTCGGCCCTGCTTGGCCAACCAGCACAAATATCCCCACACTTGAGGTGAGTGGAGATCATACCTCGACCCAAGAAGCGGGTCCACGAACAGCCAGGTGTACCCAGAAGGCAGCGAGTCCTTCCACCTCTTCACATTGGTGCCGGAGAACAGGTGCACAATGATTCCCTTTGAAGTCTGATGCATCCTCCTCTGCCTCCGGTTCCATGGAAGATCATCTCCCGCCGGACACCATGACTGGCCCTTCATGAACTCCAACAGCTCCCCCGGGACCCCAGGGATGTTCTCCTCCCACCACTGAGCGTCCTCGGCCGTGATGCTGTAGTGCCCCCTTTCCAGCTCCTCAAACTCCTTGAGCATCGCAAGAGCTGCAGTCCTTTTCATCACTGGACAACCCCCCCGCAGCCAACATAGTATCGGCCCTTGCCGAGGATGGTTGATTGTGCATCCATTCGCCGACCAGTCAATCCGAAAGCCATGTTGTACCAACAAGCTCAATGGAATGATCGGCTCAACCTCGTCCAAAGACAGCAATGTGCTGCATCCCTCCTTTCGAAACAGCGTCGTCGACCCATGGGCGAGCTCCACCTGAACTGGAATAAGGTGGTTCTTCTCCCCGACCTCCGCCATCCTCAGTGGATGCGTTGCACCTCCATCCAACAAGGCCACTTCGCCCTCCCTCTCGGCGTCAGGCTGTATCCTGCAAATCTGCCTCAGCCTGCAAGCCTTGAGCGCTCTCAATGATTTGAGCAAACTTGTAGCTTCTGCTATCAATGCCGTCGCCGACTCTGCACTCCCCGTCGAAGCTTCTCCACCACCTGCAACCTTCTCCCCCTCCCGACTCCTTGACACCTGTGTGCTCTTCAAGGACCCCGAGGACTGTTGGGAAGAAGTCGTAGTGGCGTTCTCCTCCTTCGGCTTATCTGGAGCTTCAAGGTCACTCACTGGCGACTCCTTGGTGGGCATAGGATTCTTCACCTTTGCCACCTTCTTTGAATCCCTTTGATCTCGCTCACGTCGAGTAGGACACTCTCGCGACATGTGCCCTTCACCACTGCAGACAAAACACCGATTCTGCTTGTTGATGCCTTCCCATGAATGCCCATAGGTGCATTGATCCCCCCCTCCTGCAGCCCTGAGCAGACCCCCAGAACTTGCAAGAGGCCTTTTGCTTCTCTTCTGTAGAGCTCGTGGTGTTGAATGCCGCCACCTTTGGAGCTGTCCCTCCAGCTGTGGACATGTTCACATTCGCACCTGCTCCAACGTCTTTGAAGAGCCAGTCATCAGCGCCAGATCTTCAGCCTCCGCCTGCACATACTCCGCATACTCCATGATGGATTCCATCGTCGGACACTGATCCACTGCAAGATCTTGCCTTGCTGTTGCCATTCTGAATGAGACCTGAGCACCACCATGTCGACCCGGGGCTTCTGTGACCCTGTTCAGCACTTGCACCAGCACCAGAGGGTCCGGTGTAGTCAGGCCCAACTCCTGCGCACGCTGGATCCATCGCCTCCATTGGCGAATTCCAGACAAAACGTCTGCCACCCCATTGCCCACCTTCAGCTCGGTGATGCTCTTGAGGAGCGCAGTTCTCTCAGCTGAACCCCCTGGTTGAAAGATGGTGTACAGCCGAAACAGAATTCCCAGGCAGCTCACCTTTCTAGAGGCGATGACATCCCTTCGAACTTGATCGGGAAGAACCCCCAACAAGATAGTCACTCCCCGGTGCTCAACTCGTTCATAACTGGGGTGCAAAGGCCGATCAACCTTAAGCCTCAGCCTCTCCAGCGGCTTCAACTTCAGCCAAGTCTCATACAGCGCCTCCGCCTCCATGATGTTTGCTTGCCACCAACCCCTCGCAGAGGATGACAGATCTGACATGAGAGGCATCGCCACCGTCAGCCAATCGCCGAAAGCCAGCGAAGCACCATCGCTGCCAGGAGATGGTAGAGGTGGTAACTCCAAGCTTCTAAACACTTCATTCATGGTCCCCTGAGGCGGTTCAGACCTGTTCAACGGACCCTCACACACTCCCTCCTTCTGCAAACCTGGTGGACGCTCAAGACCATGTGGTTGAGACCCTCGACCATCGCGGCGAGTCGATTCGCCCCCATTTCCTCCTCCGCCCGGTCCCATCACCCCGACCGTTGACCGCCCAGGCTCTCGGTCAGCACTTGGCACCGACTCGAAGGATGATGACTCTGCTCCACCAGTGGCCTTCTTGATCTCCTTTGCAAAGAGATTCTCGGCTTCCCTGAGCACCTTCTCCCTGATGGCCTCCACATCAACATAGTTTGGCGACCTTCTGACTTCCCCTTGCGGCATCCCCTCAGGCACCACCCCACTTTCACCAGGATGAGCTCGTGCTTGTGTGCTCCAAAAAGGGTTGACATTCGCCCCACTCATTGGGGGAGGGGTAGCCATGGGATAAGGTTCCAGAACCCTCGGTTGTGGTCCCAATTCAATCGTGGGGCCATAGCTCAAAGGTCCTCCTCGGGGTGGAATTGGACACTGTGGTGATCCAAAGACACTCCCATGCCCAGCATGAACTCCAGGACCGGTACCGGCTAGATGTCCAAGATCGTGGTGTTGAAGTAGGGGTGCAAGTAGCCCTTGACCTTGAGGATTTCCACCAAAAGCTCGTTGCAACACATCTAAAGACTGCCTGACCGAGTCCAGCAGTCCCGGTGCCGACTCAATCGTGACTTGTCCTGGCCCATTTGGCTGGCCCATAACCTGACCTTGTGGTTCTCTGCTCGGCCTTCTCGCCGAGGATGTAGTTGCCGCTTGCCCGGCCTGCTCTGGAGCTGCAGCCAGCCTTCGAACCGCTGCCGTCCTCGCCGGCACCGATGCTGCTCTGCCCTCTCGCTCTTCCAGCAGCGCCTGCAGCCGTTCATCTGCCGCGCCCACTCGAAGTCGCCCTTCTCGATCTTCAGGATCCTGCAGGCGCTCTCCTTCGCGGGAGGAGCGCCGCCGCCGCCCAGCGAAGCCACTCATGGCGGCCAACAACCCTGGACCACAGGGGTGGACTTCAAATGGAAAAACAGGTCGTTGGGCTCATAACCTGAGTTTCCTTCAAGGGAAAAAACGGACGATGCTTTTCTTGAGCCACGAACAGCGTTTGTTGGTGCTAAGTGGTGTATGTCACACCTATGCTCACATCATGTGAAAATGAGGGGATTCGCACTTTGAAAAAGCCACACGTTTCATGGTTGTCTTTCTTTTCCGTCTTTCTCTTCGGTGTTCCTTTACACCTGTCCTTTGTCCTTTCTGTCTTTTTCTTTATCTCTCCTTTGATCCTTAGACCTTTCTTCTTCCTTTCTTTTCTTCTGTCTTGTGGTTCCTCCTCCTCTATGTTCGCCATCTTTTTTCCTTCCGCCCTTCCTTTCTTGACATCTTTTTCTTGCTTCTTTCGTTTCGTTCTTTCCACCTTTAAGTAATTCCCTTTCCCTTCCTTCCTTCAGCCCTTCCGACCTGGCGTTCATTTCCCTTTGGATATCTTGAAGACCTTTCTTTTTGCTTCCGTTGATTTCTTCAGCGTTCAGACCTGATAGTTTGTTAGACCTTCAGACCTTCCTTCAGGCCTTCCTTCTTGCTCCTCGTAGCGATGGTAGGAGCCCCTAGTAGCGTCCTTGCTCCTAGTAGTATGGCCAGGAGCCGCTAGTAGCGTTTCCTTTCCTTTCTCTCATTCTTTGAAAAAACTTACAATTACACTCAACTTGAAGGAGTGTATAATCATGCGAGGCCTTCTCATTGAAGGCTGCGCTGTCCCAAGCTTTTCCAAACCTGGCCGATGTAGACGTGTTGTCCAAAAAGCATCCGTGTGGAACGAGTAGTGTAGGAGGTAAGAAAATGTAAGAAGATTGTTCCGTCTTACATCTGTTTGCATATATCTTATATACCGTTTGAGAATTGAGTCAACTGTTTTTTCCTTGCTGATATGTTGACAGCTGGAAACAGCTGCTTGTGAACCAAGCAGATGATGCTCGAAGATCTTCCTGTAGCGCTCAAATGTGCTGTTGGAATTGGCCTGCCAAATTGGTTGTGGACAATTTGCAAAACGGCGTTATCTTGCCTTTCTTCTCTTGCCTTTTCCTTTTAGACCTTGAGAACTTTGGACCTTACTCTCCTCTTATTCTCCTCATGGCGAACTATCGCCTGTGCATCTTCCACGGCTCCAGTGATGAAATCTTGAATGTTCTCTTGATATCCTGGAGGGGCGAATGCATACTTTCAAAATGCTGTGCGCACATGAAAGCACCAAAACAATCTAAAAGAACGAATAAAACAAAGGATATGAAAACCGTTTGGGCCCCTGTCCCAACACCTTCTTTTGTTCAATCTCTCAAAAAATGTGGACATAGACCTGCTTTGCTCCTAGTAGCGATGCCCTTTGCTCCTAGTAGCTTCTTGTTCCTAGTACTAATGCCAGGAGCTACTAGTAGCGTCCTTGCTACTAGCAGTAATGCCCTTTGTTACTAGTAGCGATGCCCTTGCTCCTAGTAGCTTCTTGTTATTACTCTTTTGGGCGACCTGCCCAGCCGTGCCTAAATAGACCCTGTCTTTCATCATGATGTCCTGCCAAGTTCGACTCCGAAGCGAATAGCTCAAGCTGGAGGACGTCTTGCCGCAAGAAGTGGAATTAAAGACCTAACTTGATACACCTTTTTCTTCAATAGGATGGGATTGGTATTTCCTTCCTGCTTTTTATGGTTTCTTGACGTTTCTTGTTCTCTTCTCGACCTTTCTCTGCTTTCCTTTTCGTTCCAAGAGCGGGGCGGCGAAGGGGGACCTTAGGGCCTCCTTAGGGACGCCTCCAGCCCAGGCCACGACCGTTTTGGGACGGCTTGGGGGCCTTAGCCCCCAAGAAGCTATTAATTTAATTCAAATTCAAATTTAATTCTAATAGCTTCTTGTTACTACTAGTAAGGCACCTGTTACTACTAGCGATGTACTTGTTCCTAGTAGCTTATATATAAACCTATATCTGTAAAAATATAACTTCTATTTATGTATCTACTTATGAATGATCTATGGTCTATGCATCTTCTGCTCCCGTTGGATCACCCGCTTTCGAAGCAAGAGCCCTGTTGGATCTGCCCCTTCGATGAAAGAAGGAATCCTTGTGAACTCGAGCCTTAAAGAGTGGATGGCCCTTTAGATGAAATCGAGAGCACAAAGCTAGTAGAAACAAGTGCCTTACTAGTAGTAACAAGAAGCTACTGGGAACAAGTGCATCGCTAGTAGTAACAGGTGCCTTACTAGTAGTAACAAGAAGCTATTAGAATTAAATTTGAATTTGAATTAAATTAATAGCTTCTTGTTACTACTAGTAAGGCACTTGTTACTAGAAGCGTGGCACCTGTTCCTACTAGCTTCTTAAAGAGTGGATGGCCATTTAGATGAAATCGAGAGCACAAAGCTGTGAATAAGAAGCATCCTTGCTCCTAGTAGCGATGCCCTTGTTACTTGTAGCTTCTTGTCTTTTCTTTAGACTTGATTAAACTCATTAAACCGTTCTTTTTCTTTTCATGCCATACTTGTCTCTCCCCTCTCTCTCCAATCATTCCCTCCTTCACGGTCTGGTGATTCTGCACTTTGCAGAATTGGTCATACCTGCAACGCTACGCGTTGAACGCCGCTACATCCACCCGGGATGATCTGGACTGGACAAACGGGTCGCATTAATTAAAATAGAATAAACACTAACAGCAATGAGTTACTAATAGCAATGGCCTCCAACCTACTAGCGATGGCCTCCAACCTAAGAGCGTCTTTAAAACATGTTTGACAGGTTTTTGCGTTCAATCCACTTGTCCAAGTCTTGTCGATTTCGTGCCAATCAAGGCGTCCAATCGACAAACTGCGTCAGTGAAGTGTGCGTTCCCAAACTGGAACAAACTGGCAGTGAGTTGAGCAAAGTCTTTGAGATTGTGCTGATTGAATGCATTCTGGAAAAACCTTCGCTGTTTTTTGCTGGTGAATTACACAAGAGTGGGGTGCTTGAATGAAAACTGAAAACCGCTTGAGGCGGTGGGATTCCACCATCATTCCAGGACTCCAGCTGGCGGACGCAGGTCATTGACTGCAAGTTGCTGAGCGTCTGGAACCAACCCTCCGAAATCCTCAGGGCTGAAGCTACTAGGAACAAAGGGCATCGCTACTAGGAACAGGGTCGCCAAAAAAGGTTTGAAAGCAACAAAGAACCCTTCTTGTTCCGTAGTGATGGGTGCTTAAGTTCAAAACAGCGTTCTTTCACTCGGAAGGGCTAGTAACTCCACTTCCGAATAGCGCTTGGCTGTTTCTTTCTTTCCTTTCCTTTTTTTGACCTTCTCTTCCCTTCCCTTCCCTTCCCTTTTCTTTCTGTATGTCTTTTCTTCCTTCCTTCCTGCCTTCCTTCCTTTTCTGTTATTGCCCTTTTTTGTTTTTGTTTCAAAACGAAGCAAATCATCCGTGCGAAGGGCTATGTGTCCGGGTAGCTTCCTTGCTACTGCTTACCCCTTACTGCAAACAGTCTCCTAATCCCCCTCCCCTCCAAAAAAGATCTACAAATGAGAATGTTGAGTGTTTAGAAAAGTTTTTGATACGTCTTAAAAGAAGCGCTATTAGGTTGGAGGCCATTACCACTAGGGGAGGTCCTACAAAAATGTTTGGAGGCCATCGCTAGTGCTGTTTTTCTACAAAAAAAACGAATCGTTTGTCCATCCCTCTGAGGTAGTGTCCCCTGCAGCATGTCCAGGAAATCGTAGATTCCAGGATCAAGAACAATTGCCTCAGAACAAATGCCTTACTAGTAGTAACAAGGACGCTATTTGTAACAAGTGCATGGCTACTAGTAACAAGTGCCTTACTAGTAGTAACAAGGACGCTATTAGTAACAATCGCCTCAGAACTGTATTTTCCATTCCGTCGACTTGCCCAGTTGGCTTGGCACAAGCAAAACACTGAAAGCCAAAAAATGTTTCAAGACCGTGCCTGATCGGTCATATCCACTGAAATGGCTTCTAGGAACAAGTGCATCGCTTCTAGTAACAAGTGCCTTACTAGTAGTAACAAGAAGCTATTAATTCAAAATTAAGTTTAAGTCTAATAGCTTCTTGTTACTACTAGTAAGGCACTTGTTACTACTAGCGTGGCACTTGTTACTAGTAGAAACAAGACCGTGCCTGATCGGTCATATCCACTGAAATGACAAAGAGCTTCCCGACGTTCTGGGACGCAGAAGGCAGTAACTAAGGGCATCGCTACTAGGGGCTCCTGGCCTTACTACTAGGAACAAGGATGCTACTAGTAACTAGAAGCATGATTTAAACGACCACAGGTCATGAATCTTGAATCATGACAACACGTCGTGCCTTTTCCCTTCTGAAGACCTTTCTTGTTTCTCGCTTAAAGTGCTTTCTGTTTTATGGTGTCTTTTTTGGACCTTGCTTTCCAATTTACCTTTCTTTTTGGTTTTCTTTAGACCATTTCTCACTTTTCAAACGACCGCAACAACGACCGCGCCACTTGGTCTTGAATCTTGACAATACTTCGTTCTAAAGGCCTTTCTGATGGAAGGTCTTCTTCCACGGTTTTTAAGTCTACAAAAAACGCACTGGTTTTGAGTCACCTCTGTCTTGTAAAGCCATTAGAAACAATAAGCTACTAGGAACAAGTGCATCGCTACTAGGAACAAGTGCCTTACTAGTAGTAACAAGAAGCTAATAGTTAAAAAGCCTCTACGGCCTCCGGCCCACATGTTCTAAGATTCATGGACCTTTAGAGCAACTTGCCAGGTTGGAGGCCATCGCTATTCGAACACAAAGAAAGCGGAAGAGAAAGGAAAGAAAAGGTTTATACAAAGTATAGCCATTGCTTGCTAGCAAGAAACTACTAGTAGCAAAGGGCATCGCTACGAGGAGCAAGGACGCTACTAGTAGCTCGGGGCGCTCCTGGCCTACTAGGAGCAAGAAACTATTAGCTTATTGTTTCTACTAGTAAGGCACTTGTTCCTAGTAGCGATGCACTTGTTACTACTAGGTTTCGAGGGCACTATTTAGCGAGGCCGTTCCTGTTTGGGTCTCGACGGCCAGGTGACTCGTTCTTCTCGGTCTTCCGAAGTGGATTTCGGCACGAGGAAAAGCACTTGGTGGGCGGAGCCGTATGGTGCTTGCCTTTGTAGAGTGCCACAAACTATGCCTATGAGGCACCATAGTAGTAACAATGTTCGCTACTAGGAACAAGTGCCACGCTACTAGTAACAGGTGCCTTACTAGTAGTAACAAGGACGCTATGAGAAACAAGTGCCTTACTACTGGTCTGACTTTTTCTGATTTGACAGCAGAAACAAACCATGTCTTGGTCTGGGCTGGATCATAGCTTTTTGTTCTGGTGGATCAGTGATCAGACTTCTGCTTCCTGCCCTTTGCTCTGTTCAAGAATAAACAATCTGCAAAGAAAAAGTTCGCTAGTAGGCCATCGCCAGAAGGGTGGCGGCAATCACTCTTAATTAGGATCTTCCCAAATCTGGTTTTGTATAAAACTTCCCAGATCGCTTGGCATTCGATGTCTTTGACACTTTCCCATATAAAAATGGTTTTCTCAAAATTGCATTCCTGCTTTGAAGCAAGATGCCTTCCTGCCTGTGGGTGCAATCTTGGTAGTATTCTTGAAACGAGCGTCGTTTGGAGATACACCAGTTTTGAAAAACATGAGTTCCTTGGCAATTGTATCAAAAGTTTTGGACAATGGCTGTGTTTTTCCTAGAAACAATAGGGTTTGAAGCGTGTGTGCATGTGTTTTTGCTTGCAAACTAGTTTCCGCACCAAAATTGATCTACCAGGGCAACATTGCATTAAAGAATGTAGCCCGAAAGAATGTCTCACATGCCTCGTAACAAAATACATCTTTCTGCAAACAAAAAGAGTGCCTCTGCAAAGACGTCTGCAAAGACAAAAAAATGTTGATGGAAATATTTAAATAGATGGAAATATTTAAATATATATATATTCGCATACAGGAGTAAGCCTCTAACAAAAAATATGTCATTTATATAGAAGAGTACACTCTGAAAAATGTGTGCCAAAGGGGCTCACATTCGTAGTGGTAACCCGAGTATGCTTTTGGTGATGCAAGATCCCGATTTTGTGCAGGGCATGTGACGGACACTGGATTTACAATACTCATATAATCTAAGGGTAGATGTGTCAACTTTGCTTACCCTTCGATTTTAACTGTGTTGCAAGGCGTGGCTTTGTTATGCTTTGCTATTGGGATCCTTGAGTGTTTCCCAGGTAACTGCAGTGATTTGATTTGGCAAGGCCTCTACGGAGGTCATAGCCCCAAGCCGACTCGCTTCTTGCTGGGCTCCATGACGGAACCGGAAGCGCACTTTGCCAAGTACCAGTGTTCCGTGTTCCCCCATGCCACCTCCTTTACGAATGGGCAAAAATGCCTTGACGCAGTTCTATGCCACTGCGGTCTTGAAAGAGTACCCTCCCGCTCTCAACCACGCGTTGGCTGACTGTCTAGCCGTGTGGCTCCCCCGTGCTGAGGTGCAACAGCGACTTAGTGGGCTTGGTGAGGATTCCTTTCCGGCTGATCTTGACGAAGATCTACGCAGCTTTCAAGTTGCTGCTGAAAGGGGATGGCAGTCGGAGTGCGGACCGGACTTTGCTGAGTGAGCACAGGTGTTTATTTTCTTTTGGCTGAGTTCAAAGGTGGGGCAGACGAAGAGTCACTCTTCCTGTGCTCTGCATGCTCATGACTCGCTAGAAGAAGGCCACCAAAGAAGGGAAGAAGACGAGTTCAGGCCAAGAATACTGTGTCACCCGACGTCGAATTCTTTGTGCAAGTCTCGCAGCGCTTTGAGCTCAGCATGCGGTTGAAAAATGGAATTGATTTTGAGCAAGAAGTCGGCAGTGGTTTTCATGTTAAGCGCAAGTCTGCTGCATTGTGGATGCTATTAGGACGCGGTTTCTACAGAACATTACCAAGCATCATGTGAAGTAAACAGGGACAAAACTCGATGATTATATTGGGCTCATACTGGGATGAGGCACCTCATTCTATCTTTGAGTGCTGGGAAATTGCAACGCGTTTTGCAGCGCTTTGCGCCTGATTCGCATGTGTGTGTGCTCTTACTTCTTTATCTTCTTGTTGTTGGGGATCTCTTGCTGGGGTAATCAAATTGTTCTTTAGACCTTTAGACATTCAGACCTTTTCTTGTTCGTCCGCCCTTTCTTTATGTCCGTTTTTTTGTTTTTCTTCCGTTGTCCAGACCTTTGGATAGACTTTTCTCTCTCCTGTCTTCTTTTCTTTTCTTCGGAGGGTTCGACCTTCTTCTTTCACGTTCTCCTGCCTTTTTTGCTTTCTTAGTAACAAGAAAGCGTTCTATGATGTTTAAAAAAAAAGTGTAACAAACGAACTTGTAAGTAACTGCACATTGCCAGCCTTCTGGTCCAGGCGGCCCCAGAACTGCTTCACAGCTTCATAGACCGTCTGCACCAGCGATGCCTGAGTTATTTTGCCGAACAAGGTTCGCTACTAGGGGCTCCTGGCCTTACTAGGAACAAGTAGCTACTAGTAACAAGAAGCTACTAGTATAGTAACATGGGCATCGCTACAAGGGCATTACTAGTAACAAGAAGCTGCCAGTAGCAAGGGACCTTTGGAGCTTTCGTTTGTTCTTTGTGTGTGATTTGTATTGCTTTTCATTAGACCCAAAAAGAGACCTTTAGCGACCTTGAGAGACGGGAATGATGAAGTGAAATAGACCGGTTGGGTCTTTGGTCTAGACCTTTAGCTTCTTGTTACTACTAGTAAGGCACTTGTTACTAGTAGCTACTAGCATCCTTACTACATACTGTCTTTGCTCCAAAATGTCAACGCCTTGCACCTTCCACACAAAATCGTATTCCACAAGAGCGCTAAAGAAAGCAACAGAACCCAGCCTGGAACATATAATCGATGAGGCGGATGCAATCACCTGTTTTCACAAGAAGCTCTTCCACAGTGTCGCGGTTGCATGGAGATGTGCAGACCGATTCGTTGTGATTGTTTGCATCAACGATGAACGCAAGCGTGGCACTTGTTCCTAGTAGCGTCCTTGCTCCGTTCGTAGCGATGCCCTTTGCTCCTAGTAGTGTCCTTGTTGCTAGTAGTAAGGCCAGGAGCCTCTAGTAGCTTCTTGCTCCTAAGTCTTTTTGGAAGTCCCGTGATTGGACTCCACTGCATTACTAACAATCTCCCTGTTGACAAAGGTATAAGGGATTGGCTGAAAGGGATATGAAACGAATGAGTTAGCATGAAATGACCTATGAAGAAAGCACGTTTGTTGTGGCATGTTTTAGAGAAGAAAAGAAATCGCAAAAGGCTTGAGGACTTGCATTTCCCGGGCGCACCAAGCATCTCTTCATCCCGCTTTGCGATTCTCAAGAGGCGGGCTTTCTCACGTGCCTAGCTGAAAACGATCTGAAAAAAGGAAAGAAATAAAAAACGAAAGAAAGAAAAGAAAGAAGGAAAGAAGAAGAAGAAGTGTCTACTAAAAGGAATGAAAAAAGAAAAAATAGTGAAAACAAAAGAAATCGATCTCTGGCAGCTCCTCCTCTTTTTCCTGCACCATGGACTTCGACCTCATCTTCTGAGTGAAGAAAGTAATAGATAAAACAAAGGGACTCAAAGTAGTCTCGAGGTCCAAAGAAAATGTTTTAAACAGATATTGTAGAGTGTGTCATGTTTTAAAAGTATTAAAGAAAAAAACAATATTGTTTCTTTTACACTTGCAGCCTCTCACACTTGCTCAGCTCAAGACTTGGAGCCGGCCAACTGATCCTCGGGATACGACGAACGGCTTTGATGGATGTGTCTTTTTCTTCGCTTCCAGAGCCCCTAGTAGCGTCCTTGCTCCTAGTAGCGATGCCCTTTGCTCCTAGTTTTTTCATAGTCCTTTAACCATCACGATCACTACGTAGATGATGACAACGCTCAAAGAAACACCTCACTTATGACACGCCTACAGCTCATGCCAGCAACGCTTTCATAGCAGGTGTCAGATCTGAATTTCTCGGTGAATGCAAACGAAAGGTGCCTTGTTACTAATAGCTTCTTGCTACTAGTAGTGAGGCCAGGAGCTACTAGTAGCTTCTTGCTCCTAGTAGCGATGCCCTTTGTTACTAGTAGCTTAAACTTGACTGAGTGCTGTTCGACTGCAGCTTCAGTCTGGAAGGAGCACTGGACCGTGGCAATCAAGCGATCAATGATGCCAATCTAAGACCGACAGGACATGGGATTTCCCAAAGTTATGCCCGCAATTCAACTGAAGAGAAGTTCAGCTTGAACATTCAATTATCAAACGGAGGATTTGAATGCCCAATGCTGAGAGGCCTGTCAAGCGCAAAGAATCTCTGACAAGTCTCTTTGCCGCCCTAACTGAGCTCCTGAGCACCACACCGCAGCTTCATGCTTCTGTTCGAAATCTTTTTGTGCTGAATTCACCTGGCAGCTGAATTTCTTCAAGGTTGGAGGCCATCGCTATGTTAAACAAAGAACAAAAAAAGGAAGAAAAAGTCGAGGTAGCAGAGGTAGTCGTATGGTGTGCCACATAAGTTGACTCCTTTTGGTCAAGAGAATCTACACAAGGCAGGTGCGGCTGGACTTGCCCGGATATGCTGTTGCTTCTCCATAAATTCCTCATCCAACCAGGCCAAAAGCAAACTGAAAAATTGAAGAGAGTAATGCTTCAAAAACAAGTTATCTTCCACAAATGGCCTCTCCTGAATTGAGTAGATGCAGTTTTGATCAACGTGCATGACCTGGCCGAAACACCAAGTGAAGCTGTTTTCATTCTGAGTGCCTTCGAACCTTCACATCTTCCACTTCACGGACGAGGCTGTTCACCTGCGAAGGAAACCAAACCGCGGTTCTGACTACTACCTCAAACCTACTAGCAAGGGTCTCCAACCTACTAGCAATGGCCTCCAACCTAAGAGCGATGGCATCCAACCTAATAGGCAATGGCCTCCAACCCAATAGCGATTGCCTCCAAGCGAATAGCAATGGCCTCCAGCCTAATAAGCAATGGCTTCCAACCTACTAGCGATGGCATCCAACCTAAAAGCGATGGCCTCCAACCTACTAGCGGTGGCCTCCAACCCAAGAGCGATGGCTTCCGAAAACTGGAATTCTGACTTGGATTGGCATTTTCGGAAATTACAGGTAATGACCCTCCCAGGTAAGGAATGCCCTAAACCCTGGTAGGTTGACAATTCTAATTCTTGTTTCTAATAGTTTCTTGCTCCTAGTAGTAAGGCCAGGAGCCCCTAGTAGCGTTCTTGCTCCTAGTAGCGATGCCAGGAGCCCCGATCGTAGCGTCCTTGTTTCATTTTCGGTGGTCAACCAAGGATACCGCTCGGTCGGACGTGCGCTGCGGTGCACCTGGACCAAGGAATCCACAAACATTGGTTTTGCAAAGAAGCAGCACCTGCAACAAAGTGTTTCAGGTACAAATGACAGATTTTGTATTTCGGTTCAAGAAACTCATCGAAAGAAACAAGAAGGATTACTCCAGCATAGACCCCAGATAGCAAAAGCATGCAAAAGATATTTTCGGGCTGCACCCTGCATTGGCAGCAGCTCCAATTCTTTCACGCAATACAGCGTGGCGTGTCTCCACTACGCGCACGGCCAGCGCCAGCACCGGCACCCGGCACCAGCACCCAATCTGCACCACACACACAACGAGCACCAGGAAGCCGGCAGCACCCTACCAGCACCCAGCACCGGCACGCCAGCTCACAGCACCACACGCGCACAAGCACCCGGCACCCTGTTTCCGCCACGCGCACAGCCAGCTGACAGCACCCAGCACCAGCACCCAGCGCCCGCACCCTGTTTGCACCACGCGCGCAGCCAGCTCACAGTCCACCACGCACACCCAGCACCCAGCAACGGCGCCCAGAGCAACCTGTCTCGAAAGCGCGCACGAGCAACTCATTGTTATTTGAAGTAAGAACCCCATAGCTTCGCTATCTGGGGAAAAAACAAAGCAGGACAGGAAGGAAGGAAGAAAGAAAGAAATGCTCAAAGAAAATGCAAATCAAAAAGAATGAGTTGTCTATAGAGGTCCAAAGAAAGGTCAAAGCAGGAAAGGACAATCGCTTTACTCTTAAAGAACATACTAGTTGTATAAGTCTCACGCATCACTCTCATGTTTGCCACTCATTTTTCTAAGTTGCAAAGCAGAATCCTCGCTTTTGCCATGCAGAACTGCTTTCAAGACGGTCATGGCACAGCACGGGACTGACCTAGTGAGCCGCTGTCTTCTGTGGCAATACACCTGACACTCCGGACTGGATGTCGGTTCTCCAAACTCGTTAGATTAAACTCAAAAGTAGCATTTTTGCTCCTAGTAGCGATGCCAGGAGCCCCTAGTAGCGTCCTTGTTACTACTAGTAAGGCACTTGTTACTAGAAGCGATGCACTTGTTCCTAGTAGCGTTTTTGCTCCTAGTAGCGATGCCAGGAGCCCCTAGTAGCGTCCTTGTTACTACTAGTAAGGCACTTGTTACTAGAAGCGATGCACTTGTTCCTAGTAGCGTTTTTGCTCCTAGCAGCGATGCCAGGAGCCCCTAGTAGCGTCCTTGTTACTACTAGTAAGGCACTTGTTACTAGAAGCGATGCACTTGTTCCTAGTAGCGCTTTTGCTCCTAGCAATAATGCCCTTTGTTCCTAGTAGCGTCCTTTCTTCCTAGTAGCGATGCCCTTTGTTACTAGTAGCTTCTAAACACAAACACATCTCTTTTTGAGTTACTAATAGCAATGGACAAAAAAAGCGCTTCTGCTATGTTTCTCTGCTTATTTGACCTTTAGACCCTTCGCTCGTCCATTTTCTTGTCCTGTTCTCTTTAGACCCATTAACTGTTTTTCCTTGCGATGCCCTTTCTACGAGTAGCTTCTTGCTACTAGTAGTAAGGCCAGAAGCTACTCGATGCCCTTTGTTACTAGTAGATTCTTGCTACTACTCTTGTTCGTTCTTTCCTGATCTGTTTCTCAAGCTGCTTCATTGAACGTTTTTGCACTTCTTCTCCTTCCTCTATTTCTTTGGACACTCTGCAGTCTTTCTTTCTTTGTTCAATCCTTTTTCCTGCTTTCTTATGATCAAAAGAAAGTGAGTCCTGTATCCAAGAATCTTAGAAATGCTCATGTCACTACCCCGAAGTGTACTTTTGTTCACCTTAGCGGCAATACCCCACAATAACTATTTGTTATTGTATTTGTTTGAATCTTTCTTATTGGTCCGTTCCTTCTTTCTTTCTTTCTTTCTGTCTGTCTGTCCGTCGGTCTGTCCGTCGGTCTGTCTGCCTGTCTGTCTGTCTTTCTATCTTTATTTCTATCTATTATCCTTCTTTCTATCTTTCTTTTCTTTTTCTTTCTTGTCCTTCCTGTCCTTTCTTTCTTTCTGCCTTTCTTTCGTTCTTTCGTTCTTTCTTTTGTCCTTTCCATTCCGTTCCTTTCCTTTGCTTTTCTTTCTTAGACCTGTAGATTTAGACCCTCTATTCTGTCCTTTTGCCTTCTTTCTTTGCGTCTTTGCTGTAAACCTTGTCACAACCTTTCTTGGCTCTCCTCGTAACGCGCATTGGTGCGCCACTGCGTGATCACCTGAAGAGAAGAACAGCTTTCATCAAACTGACTCAGTCTCTTAACGTCTATGCGTTTCATCAAAAAAAAGAATCTCTCAAACAGCCTTCTTGTGGATATAGTGCTTGAAGAAGTTCATTGATTGCAGCACACGGAACATCAAACTCTGATGCATCCTTCGTGCAGCGAGCATACGTCTTTTAGGCAAGTGCAAGAAAGTGGTAAGGCTGACTTGTTCAATGAAGGGTTTTGCAGCGAATAGCAAAGGATTGCTTTTTGAAGGAGTCTTACCTTTGTCTCGTCATCTCTTAGTTCTTCCAGGGTGGTGGCCATCGCAAGTAGGTTGGAGGCCATCCCTATTAGGTTTTCCTCGTTCTAAAGTATGGTTTTGATTGAGGAGAAGACCATTCTGTCAGCAAAATGCACTCCGACAAGAGACCAGGTGCAACATGCACAATACCTCAGAGTTCGAAAGTGATCGCACAGTCAACATCTTGAGTCACCAGTGCAGCTTGAGTCACCAGTGGCCGAAATCGTAAAGTATTCCGGATTGACCTGGAAATCCGACGAAAAAGAGTCGTACTTAAAAGAAACAAGTCGTCGACAGTCTGACGAACGGCCTTGTCTTCTGGGACAACTATGAGCTCATATGGAGCAAAATGATCACTCCTCAGAGGTCCAGCATCACCACTTCGAAGCTTCGTTTTTGCCTGCCTCCCTACTTAATTAAGTAGAGACTCCCGACTACCGAGTTAATCTAGTAAGGGAGAAACCTCGTTTGCTCCTAAGCTACTACATATGAACGCAAGATAGCTCACGCACAAAATACAATTAGTTCTTGTTCCTAATAGCGAACATTGTTACTACTAGTAAGGCACTTGTTACTAGTAGCGATGCACTTGTTACTAGTAGCGTCCTTGCTCCTAGATGTTTGAGAAATTCGATTGATCGGATCGAAAAGTGCTGCATAAGTGCACGACTCCACGCGGTTTGCATAGAGGAGTCTTGGATCAGAAGCTTCAAAGGAAGCACGGAGTTTGTCCGAGTTTGTTTGTGTTATTTGCTTTGGTTCTTCTTTTTCATGTTTCTGGATTCTATGGAATTCTATGCCCTTTCGAAAGCACTCTCAAGACCAGACTTTGTCTTTGAAACGCTGCCGCTCTTTGCGAAGTATGCAATAGCATCCTGCCAGGTGCGTAGCTACTCTTTAGCCATGTGTAGCCATGACAAGAGTGGCTCTCAGTCATGAGCAACTCTCAGTCCTCCCCTGTGCGTATTTGTTGCAACTCTTGAGTTTCTAGCTCGTCTTCATTCACCTCACAGCTTGAGCAGGTAGAAGTTGGAAACATGGGCGATAGACAGCATGATAAAGAGCACTGCCCTGACTTGATAAACTGCAAGGGTGGAAATATCAGACACGAGTAGGAAAGGTTGAGATGCTTTCCTGCCTCTATGCCTCCATTGTTCTGCTTCAGCAAATTGCTCAAGTCTTGAGTTGCCGCCACGTCCTTCCAATTGTCCAAATACAAAAGGAGCAAGAACGCTACTAGGGGCTCCTGGCCTGACTACTAGGAGCAAGGACGCTACGAACGGGGAAAGCTGATTAGCAGCTGCTTGATGTGAAGATTTCGCTTCAAGGAGAGCGACGGCCTCCAAACTAGCAGCTTTTGTTCCTAGTAATGCCAGGAGCTACTAGTAGTTTCTTGTTACTAGTAGCGATGGCCTCCAACCTAGGACCTAGAAGCATCTTTTCCTTAAATCCCAAGGATATTGCTAAACCTTTACAATAACTTGGCTAAAGGACTCTAGTAGGTTGGAGCCATCGCTGTGGGGTTGGAGGCCATCGCTCTTAGTTTCAAATCATTAGTGTGAGCGCTAGGAGCGAACTTTTCTCTGAATGAAGTAGGCGCATACTTAATGAAATAAGGGAGCAATGAGCTGCTAGGAAAATGACCGTCTAGTAACCGGACGCAGGATAGCTCACGCTGGCCCTAATGATTTGGTTCCTAGATCTTTAGGGACACTGAATTTCTCACACTAGTAACAAGTGCCTTACTAGTAGTAACAATGTTCGCTATTAGTAA